AGAAGACTAGAAAGACTAGGAATTGTATAAACCAGGGCAGAGGAGATAGAGACCTGGAGAAAAGGAAAGCAGATTTGTACTGAGAGGCCTTGGATGGGACAGATCATGTCTCAATTCTGCAACTGTGCCTGAATCACCATGATTAGGAATTTGTGTTTGATCTCAGAAGCTATCTAGGTGATAATTGTTATTAGAAATCAAGAAATAAATGAGCAATGAAAATATTGCTATATAACATAACTATATAATATATAATTATAATTATATATTATGTAATTGTAGAATTATAGTTTTCTAAAAAAATGCATATATTCATATCTATCCAATGTGTTGCATACGTACACACACACACATACACAGATATATTAATAAAGGAATCATTAAATGAAAGAAATTTGGGAAATCCTGTTAATTTGCCCTAGAAAGCTCTATGCTCTCATTCTCATGGGCTCTGACTCTTAAGTCAAACATGTTGTTTGATGGACCATGGGAGTAAGTCGATGAAAAACATATGAAGACTGTGAAAGATTTCATGTCTCACTGAGAAACTACATTCCAGAAGAAGACTTGATTGCTGAGAAGAGAAATCCTGGCTGTGAGGAAAGACTTGGTACTGCCCACAAACTCACTGAATGAGGCCAGCGTTATCCCTGGAACCCCAGCTTAAATTTGCCTCTTTCTACCACTTGTACTGTTTATGGAGAAATACTTGCATTGTCAAAATACACATTATTCTGCAGTCAGATTTTGAAGTTGTAGTCTAATGTGCACGTCTGTATCCTTGGAAATCTGTGGACTAGAGGAAGGGATGAGAATATGCAGTTAATGGTAAAGAAATAAAGGTGATATGAATAAGCAAATTCTATTTTAAGTGGAATCCCATAACTGAGAAGGGAATTATGGGTATGAATAATTATCACCCCCGTTGTGTCTCAACTTTTCCACTAGACTCCTTTCGGCAGCTAAAATTAGAAGGTGAATGGTATTGTTACTCCCTAATGTAACTTGTAACGAGAGAAAGATAATTTCCTAAAGCTATCGCAGGTTCAGCACACTGATCAGTTTCACAGCACTGGGCAGAGATCGGTTTGGTCCCTGCCCACTGTTACTCTGGGTGGGGCTCAAATTTTTCACCTTGAGCTTCAACTGCCTCTCCTGCAAAGTGGTCACATCAGCCACACATCCTCACAGGTACTTAAGCACTTGACATAGTACTCGCACGTGCTAAGTGTTTATGAATTCTGGCTATTATCATTTTGTTCTAAATTTATGTAAGCTGCATTATAATCATGCTCGTGTACTAAACCAGCAATTGGTTTTTGTTCTTGAGTTTAAGAAAACCCAATGGTTTGTTCGTATTTAGCATGCACATTTATCTCTTCTTGAATCCCAATGGATCTGTTGTCGACCTGAGACTTTACGACTAGTTCACTCACTGTTTGGGGATAAAAGAGAAGAATTTGATACTCAGCTCATTATTTATGAAGAGCTAAGGAATCAGCCCGCACAGCTGAATGAGGTTCCTAGAAGTGACATCTCAGCAAATGTGCTGACAAAAAAGCACCTGCGCATTAAAGCTGTTCTCCAGCAGTGGTTTGTTTCCATAGCACCTAAGC